ACTACTGTTTTATATATTTTGCTTACTTTCGTTGGTTGTTTTATGCAAAGGGATAAATGAGGGCCTTGTTACTCCATCTTTGCTGGAAGCAGAAGTCCTCAGAAAGCATTCTAAGTGGCTTTCATATCTAGCTAATCTACATTTCTATTCAGAGGACAACTTAATAATAAGAACCTCTATTTCTTGAGGGTCTTCTGTGTGTCAGGCACTGTGCTGGGTACAGTTATACACAATCTATTCACATAACATATTTATTGAGCAGTTATTGTGTACCAGCGACTGTTCCAAGCATTGGAAATACATCACTGTACCAAACGGATTTTAAGAATCTCTATCCATGTGGTGTTTATATTCTAGAGGGAAAAAGAGAAGAAACAAAATTAACAATTTAGTTATATAGCACTTTAAAGGTTAATGGCTACTATAGAAAAATGAAAAGCAAGATAAGGGATTTCAGAAGTGCTGGACTGAAAAAAAATGATTGCAGTTATAAAGAGGATGGTCAAAGGGGGGGCTCCCTGAGAAGGCAAGGCATTTGAGCAAAGGAAGTGAGGAGTGAGCCATATAGGTATCTGGAGGAAGAGTATTTAGGCAGAATGAGCAGCCAGTATCAAGGCCCTAGGACAGAAGCATGCTTGGTGTACCTAAGAAATCACGAGGTCAGTGTCTTTAGAGAAAAGAGTACAAAGGCGAGAATAATAGGAGATGAGGTCAGTGGTAACCAGGCCTGATTGTATAAGGTCTTATAAGTCATTGCAAAGACACTGGCTTTACTCTGAGTGAAGAGAGGAAAGGCTCATGACCTGACCTATGTTTTAAAAGGATCACTCTGGGTGCTCTCTTGAGCAGAGATTGTAGGATGGCAGGTGGAAGCAGGGAGACCAGTTAGGAGACGAGGCAATAATTTAGATGAGAAGTGATGGTAGTTTAAACCAGGTGGCAGCAGTAGAAATAGAGAGAAGTGGTTGGATTTTGATATATTTAAAGATAGAACTACCTGCATTTCTGGCATATTTAGTGTGGAGCATAAAAGAAAAGATCAGGGATATATTCTAGGTGTTTGGCCTGAGCAACTGGAAAGATAGAATTACCATTAATGAGATAAAAAAGGCTGTGAGTGAGTGAATTTGGGGAGAGATGGTCAGGAATTCAAATTTCGACATGTTAAATTTGAGATGTCTATTAGATATCAAGTGGAAATATTAAAATAGGAAGTCGGAGGTATGAATCTGGAGTTCATGGGAGAGGTTCAGGCCAATGGGTCAAGTGAAATGAAGGCAAAGAACTGACCTGAATTTAGCAAATGTGGAGATCTTTGGTGAGTTTGACAACAGCATTTTTGGTGGAATGGCAGGGCTTGATTGCAGTGGATTTAAGAGACAATGGGAGGAGAAGAATTGGAAACAGAGAGTTTAAGCAACTTTTTCAAGGAGTTTTTCTGCAAAGGAGGAACAGAGAAAGGGCAGTAACTGGAGGGGAAGATAGCGTCAAGAGAGGGTATTTTACAAGGGGAGAAATAACTGCATGTTTGAATACTGATGGAAATAATCCAGAGAGAGGAAAGAGCTGAAAATGTAGGAAAGAGAGAGGAAATTGCTAGAGCCATGTGCTAGAATAGATGAAAGGGGATGCATATAGGATATATGAGTAGGTACTGGCTATAGACAGGAGTACAGATACTTCATCCGTGATAATAGGCAGGAAGGCATAGTATGTAGGTGCAGGTGCTGTCAGGAGCATAAGTGGTGGTGGGAGTTTATGGAAGTTCTCATCTGATTGCTGCAATTTTGACAGTAAAGTAGGAAGCAAGGTCATCAGCTGAAAGTGAGGATGAGGGAGGTAGTGTTAGAATTTTGAAAAGAGAGAAGAAAGTGCAAAATAATGAGCTAGGAGAGTGGGAGACCAAATGGACAAAGGAAATGTAAGTATAACTGCCAGGCATCATTAAGAGTTCACTTGAGGTTCATGGTCATGAATTTAAAGCAAAGCCAGTCAGAATGCTTGTGTACTGTCTCCAGCCACATTTAGTGTACAAGGTGCAGTCACGGATCAGGCTGAGAGCTGGATTTAACAAATACAAGGAAGTAAGAAAGGGACAAGGGAGCAGGGGGTGTTTGCAAGGGAGTAATTAAAATGATAGGCTATGGAATTTAAGCTGGGCAAGAAAGAAAGATAAATATTAGAGAAGAGGGACAGTGAGATAGTGATAGGATCAGCGTGGGCCAGTGGGATTGAAGAATGGTTGGATCAGAGTAACTTCTAGAAGGAGTGAGCTGTGAAAGACCAGAGGGGTTGATCAGAGAGTGGGTTAGGGTTGCAGGAATTGATCAAGACAAGGTCTAGAGCAGTGCTACCCGATGAGTATGCCGTGCACTGGTGCCAGTCTGTGAACTGTATTTTACTGATCTCTAGTGAAGTTAAGTTCAGATATTGAAAGGAAATGTTTAGAAACACTGCTGTAATATCCAAGCATATGATCAGTAGACTTGTTTGGGGATGCATTTGTTTTTTCAGTCTGATTTGCCTACTGATTTGTGATTGTATTTTGCAAAAGTATTGGTCTGCAACAGATTGGATACAAATAAACAAAAACCAGGTCCTTTCCACAGCTGAAGCACTGCCCTTGTGTGCATGACTACGCGTGGGAGTGTCTCCCGGAAGTAGAGGCAAGCTCATTGGAGGAGAGGAGTTAGAAGGACCAGCCCTTTGAATAATAAAATCACCATCATCTGTAGCCTCCAAGATAGAAGGCTGCCTGATTGCACAACTCCAGGGGGTACCATTCTCATTGTATGCTTTGTGAACAATACAACTCCATGTACAGCGTGAACGGTGCTCTTGGAGTGTTCAAGGAGGTGGCCATTGCTATCCCCATTTTACAGATCAGAAAACAAGCTCAGAGAGGTTAAATAATTGCCCAAACTCAGACAGCTTCCAGGGGTAGGAACCAAGATTTGAACCTAGGCGCATCCGTTGTGCTAAAGCTGGACTTCTTCCACAACGCCTCTCTCTCTCTCTCTCTCAGTCACATGCTTGCAGTACGGCCATAAGCCTCGTGAGAACTGGGGGAGATGCCTTTTGGGAATGTGTTGTGGTCCTTGTGACCAAGCCTAGCATTTCAATTTGGTTTAGAGCCACAGCTCGTTACCGCTGCTGTGGTAATCCGCAGCCAACACACCCCTGTCTCCCGGATTTGTCTTTGTTGAACCAAGAGGCTGAAGCACCTCAGGAATACAACATCCAATGTCAGCACAGGCTTTCCTTCACCTTCTGTTCTCGTGCTTTAGTAATTACATGTATATTAAAAGCATGTCCTAAATAGTCATTTGTGGAATGGTAAGTAAGATTGAGTGATTTTAATACTTTTATCTTTTTCTCAAAATTTGTGTGATGGATACATTACTCTGTGATCTGAGAAAGTATAGTCCATTAAGTAGATCTCTATTTTAAACCACCTTGTTCACATAGAAGCTCACAGACTTTCAGGCCTTTGATGAGGCCTGAGCAGGCACACTCTCCCACTTGAGCCTGAGTCCCCGGCGTGCCAGAAGTCTCAGCATTTCCAGAAAAGTTGGTGTTGGTTGTTTCCCACCCTCCCTAGGTACATGAAATTTCTGAGGAACCCAAAAGTAAAGTAAGCATTGATCTCTTAGGGATTTCCTGGTTTCCTTCATTTCTTGCCTTCTAGTGGACCTGGGCAAGTACAATGAGAGTAAAGTTAATTTATAAAGCTCGGCTCTGTGTCACAGGCCCTGTGAACACTGAGGCTATCCACTTCTTCTGGAAGAAGTGCTCCAAGTCCACACTTACACAACACATAGGGTACAGCATTGGATTCAGGGCTCTGTGTGTGTGTGTGGCTCACCAGGCTGCCCCTGGGAAGGCTCGGCCCGTGGCACAGCACAGCTCTGCACACACAGCAAGGAGGCGCTTCGTAGGAATTAGTCGGACCAGTGAATGAACTAACATTCAGTGTGTATGGGTATTTTTGTGGTGATGTGTTTAATCTTTTCTACCTTAAGAAATTCACTAGCATTGATATATGTTAATTATACTGTGTATGAAAAGGATTTTTGGACTGCCTAGAATGAGACTTACTTTTATATTCAAACACATGACTTTTCACTGAGGGAAGATGTAGAAGAAATAAAGAGCCCACCAAAACAAGCCAATATAATGGACAGGGTAGGATATGATCACTCAGTTTAGCTCTAAAGAATCAAAATGGAAAATAGGAGCAGGATTTTGCTTTGAGAAATAGTACTGCAAATCACAATTTTGGTGTGGCAGAGAGATGAACTGTTATAATACCCAAATATGGTAAATGCTAATCATCACAGTTATTAATTGAGAGTAACTTAAAATGTCTTCTTGGGTTTATCATCATAACTAGAGGTTTCAAATGCATGTTATTAATTATTGTTATTAATGTGAGGTTTAAAGTCTCTTCTTATTTTGGAGATTGTCAGTATAGGTGAATTTAAAATATGCTTAACAACAGAACTACCAAATGAAAGTTTCTTCTTCTTTTCTTCCATCTTGACAAATTGCTCATTTCATCAATAAGAAATACAACTGACATGCAAGGCAAGATAGATATACACTAAGTCTCACATCATTTACTTTTTATAAATTTGTATTCCAGTCAGATGGGAAATACCTCGATTTCAATATGTACCTCATTGACGTTAAGGGTCTAGAATCATTCTAATGACTATGGTAAAGATAAGATATTTCTCCCTAGTTTGCTTACAAAAATATATAAAAACTAGCAAAAAGCCTAACTATTGTATTTAAGTAGAGAATTCTTCCTCTTCTAGATTTGAAGACTAAAATATAGAAGACAGTTACATCCTACTTTTTTTAATTATACCTTTTGAAATAATTTGTATATACCTTTTAAATAATTTCAAGTGCCACAAAAAATAATGTTAATAGCTCAAAATCAAAAGTTAAAAAAAAACCCTAAGTATAATTTTTAAAATCTTTTTCTCCTCAAGCGTTTTACGATGGGATAATGAGACAGATGTCTCTCAACTGGAAGGACATTTTGACATTGTTATGTGTGCTGACTGGTAAGTACATAAAAATCATAAAACTCCTGTTAGAAAAAATAGCTTTGCTGGAGTAATTGGGCTGTACTGCTTTGCTGACGGCTAAGCAAAGTCAACAAATGAAGCACAAAGCCACCTTAACCTCAACAAATTAATATTCATCTCCATGTGACAGTTATAAGGTAGTCTTCTATCACACAGTAACTTCTACCACATTATTTCCCAAAGATTGATTTTGAGAAGCATTTCCATTTTCTGGAATTGCCTCTGTTTCATGCTTGACGTATCAGTAAATGGACGACTTAGGCAAATTGCAAATAATTATGGCTCGGAGAGGAATAGTCTGGAGAAAAAGGAGTTTATCAACACAAACAGCTCAATTAGCTTACTTCTTAGGAGAGATATGACTATTGATATAAGGGAATATGTATATGTGTACACACATATATACTCTCCAGCAAATAAACATATCTTTGGAATATCTTTGGGGAAATGGCTTTTCTTAAAATGTATATTTGCTATCTAATGTTTTCAGTGTATCCAATTATCATATTTAATTATACATAAAACAAATATTATAAAATGACATTTTATTCTTATGCAAATAATAGCATTATAATCTCTGACAGGTGCCTGCTTTTTAAAAATAATTTACATTAGATATTGTATCTTTTATTTTAGCCCAATCTACGTATTCGTTAATGAAAGTCTGATCCTAAGTTACAGGATAAACATGCATCATAATTATTTCAGCTTACGGGAAACATTGACAATTCACAAGTGTTTCACCTGTCAGTAGTAAGATCTCGTTTGTAGTTTTATCATGATCTTTATTATGACACTTCAGCTTTGAAAACACAAGTTCAGTTTCTGAAGTCCTATTATTACATATTGATAAGTCCAATCATAAGATCCAGAACTCAGAGAAGACTCCCTAGAGGAGAATTGAATGGAATTTTCAGGAAGTAGGTTTTTCTATTATTATTATTTTAATGAGATTTTTAATGGATAACTTTGCTTCAGACGTCAATGGAATGAGGTTTGCCTTATTTTTTCTCTTCTGAAAAAAACTTCTCAAGGAAAAATGACTATTTTGTTCTATTTTTTGCTGAGGGTTTCTAGTTTCTTATGGCCCTTTTAGTCTTTTTGCACCTGATTTCAGAAAGCCCTCTTCCAAAATGGGAGAAAGCTAGATGTCTGACTAATCATTGGTAATGTGCCTCAATTCTGTCTCCCTCATCTAATCAAAAATAAGGAGCTAAAACCTCACCGTATGATTTGAGCAAGTAATTTAGTAAATGCCTTTCCTCACCAAATATGAGAAGGAATCCTCCAGGTTTCATTGCACAGATGAAGATAATGCTGGCAGGATTAGATCAGATTAAGCATGAAAGTCAGATCAGAGAGCAGCGGCAAGAGGGAAGGGGGCAGTGTCTTCTTGAAGGTTTAGACTGGGGTCACACGCGGATGGGCTCTGATTGTGTGGGGAAGGCAGGTCTGGCCAAGAGATTTAGAGTTAAATTTGTCCCTCACACAAATATCAAAACAGCCTGGCTTTGTCATACCTCGTGTTATGGACACTCACACCATGTCATCCTATTTGTACCAGAGAGGCAAGCAGAGGAAGTAAGATTTAAGCTCTTTTCTGATTAATGTTCTCAGGTTAAAAATAGCCACACAACATGTTTGAAAAACAGTCTTTTTTTTTCCCTAGCTGACAACAGGGTCACGTAGAACTGATATACATAATGCATATTCAGTTTAAGGCTTTCATTATAAATACATAATATAATGCAATATTATATGAACACACACACGGACAGACACATCTGGTGGCTGTGTGAGAATTTATGGCTTCAAGTGAACTAAATACGCCAAGCTTCATTTTATAAATGGCTTTTCAATGCATGAATTGTTGTTAAGTTTTTTTTTTTATCCTGGTGTTGTAAGTGCCAGAACGTCAGCCTGTTTATAATTTCCCATTTGTAAATGTGAAACATTAAGCTACTCTCATTGCGATGCTGATATTATTTCCAAAAGAAATGCTTTGGTAATGGTCTCTCATCATATTCACAGGGATGGGTAAGCTGCTTAGAAACTTAGAAAATACAATAATGTTTATAATATGCACATTGTGCGTATAGTGGCGAAACACAGGATTCCATGAGTTCTTTATGTCCTGTTGGTTTGGTGTTTCTCTATAACAGCCCTGGCATGGATGCTGCTTCTAGGGGCAGGCAGGCAGGCAGACCATGCTGCATTTTTTTAGAATGTCACAGAGGACGAAAAGAAATCTCTCTTTAGACACTACCTCCGAGATGAAACCTGAAATCCTCAGTGCCAGAAAGAGGTGCCACACATAAATAGATCACGGTAAGTCTCACACCATCCTTTAGTCGTTGTCAGCAATGAGATCTGGATTAGGCCACAGGAATATGAAGCAAGAGTCGGAGTTCAAATATTAGGTACATGGATTAAATTCTTATTGAAGCATTTCCAGCAAGGGTGGCATTGTCTGATTCCCTGAATAGCTAACCAGTGGTAATGCTTGATCCCATTTACATGAAAACAAGCTCTATTCACAAACCTATTCCAAACCCACATTGTGGTTCAAGTAAAATGCACATGATTACAACAAGCGGTGATATGTTTATGTTCTTAAATCATTCATATATTCATATATTTACATTCAAACATTCAAAAACCTGTAGGCAGTGGGGGAAATAACTTATTTCCCAGAAGAGACAGTCTCTTAGTTCACAACTAAATGTAGTAGCTCAACTAGATTATAAAATAAAGGGGAAAACTGTGAAAGCTAGTCATTATTCCACTGTTCAGCATTTTTGACAATGAAAAATAGTTTCATGGTTCAGCAGTTCCTAAATAACTTATAAAATGTCAACTTTGAAATAAACAGAAGGAAAAAATAGAGGTACAGCCACACCTGCAAAAGGATGCTGTTGACAAACATCAAAATATTAGAATCTTTAACCACAGGTATAGGAAAAAAAATAAACCCTGCCTATTAAGTTCCTCAGTTGACTTGTTTAATGTTGAGTTTAATATAAGGATTCCTTTCTGCTGGAATGCAGTCCAGCCTGGTCCTTGCTGAGTTTAGAATAGTGAGTGATTGTTAATTTTAAGCCTGCCTTTCCAGACTCCTGTTCAATCACAATATAATCTAAAGGTCTGGAAGTAAGATGTTTTTTATCCAATGAACACTTTCATTCAGTCATTCAGTGTCTGATGGCTCTCCAGTTTATTGTAGCTCTGCAAAAATAGAAATGACTCTGTACGTTTGAATTCTCAAAAGGCTTAGAGAGCGTATCTGAAATGCCACCCATAGCCTGACTGACCCATTGAGCCGGGTCTGCAGGACGTTCGGCACATCTGTGTGCCCGCAGCCCGAGACTGTGGAAAGAAATGAGGGAGAGTGCTGTGGCCTGGAGCACCCCACCTAACGTGACCCTTAGCATTTTCACACCAGCTCTATAGTGTGGATTATGTCTTTTTTTCATCTTTTTTACTTTAAATCATGAAAAAAAAATGTTTGTTTTTAAAGCTGTTTTTGTGAATTTTTTTTTCTCCAAATGGAAATACTATAGGCTCTAGAATTTCTTTGTTTGTTCTAGATGCTGTGATTGTGGAGAGCTCTAAATCACAACGCACAGACCTTTACACCTAAAAAGATCTTTAGCCCAAATATAGTCAGCCCTTTTACATCACATCTGAGAAGATTCAGTCCCACAGAAAATGCATGAGCTGTCCGAGATCTCAAAACGAAAAGGGGAGAGCCAAGTGAGATCGGAATGCAGCATCGCCCTGCGCTCTCACAAAAATCAGCTGATAAATACTGAAGGAGGGCATTCCTTCACTGAAAGTTAAATCTGAAACAGTGAATTTAACTTAGCATGTTTCACCTTGAAAATTACATCGTGGTCTTCCTTTCCATGGATATTGACAGAGAAAAATGTCTCCTCATTCTCTGCACTAATTAATTTCCCTATGAGAGGAATCACAGATGCTCTGCGTTCTGCATAAAATTCCTGATTCTAAGGGAGGTGGTGAAAATAGTCCAGCACCTTTCCTTTGTTGGAAAATCTGTGAGTCAGATCAATGGAACAAAGCAGGTGTTGATGCCACAAGTGAATTACATAGAGGGATGTGTGTGCATTAATGGCCAAACTAGACTGCCAATGTATTTTGATCAGTAACCGAAGAGAGAGTTAAAATGGTATCTCTGTCCCCATCACTGACCCACTCAGTCTTTTTTAAATAGATCCACTTAAGCTACTGCTACTCTCTCAGCCATTAGGACTTATTTAAGGGGTGAATTTTCAGGAGATTATATATCATTCCCACTAAAACACATTGAAATTGCTAATATGGCATACCCTATAAAGTGTTATAAATTCTGCATCAGAGTTAAGTAGAAAAGTGAGCTTGCTTGGAATAAAGATCTATTCAAGAACTACTAATAGAATTACTTTGGGGAAATTGGATTCAGAGTGGTGGGTTAGACAACATTACCTTTCAGATAACTGTGTTTGGAATGTGTGCTGTGTGTTAAGCTGCACTTTCCAGTGAGCTGTGAAGTTAAAATCTTTGTCACCCTTACCAACATTAAGTAGAAATAGTTTTATAAGGGCATGTTTTAAGCTCAGCTGTTTAGGTACTGTTTATTTTTTTTCTAACAATCTTACCAGATGTTAGGATGTGCAGGTATAAACTGAGAGCGGTCCTTTGCTTAAATGCTACATATCTCAACCAGCCGGGTTTCTTATAGGCCTGAGTAGCTGACAGAGATATTTTACCACAGTGATAGTCTTCTTTGAAAAACAAAAACAAAACCAGAATGCTTAATTATTAAAATTTAAGATATTATTACCTCTCTAAAAAATAAGAGATAGAGTCCTGAAGAGAAACTTTTTTCAAAGACTTAGTTATAATTTGATTCCTTTCTCATTAGTCCTTAATGGCTATTAATCACTGTTTAACATGATTTAATGTCACATTTGTGTAACATTTAAATTACATACATTCTGTGCTCCAAGATTTAAGGGCAGTTTTATGAAAGATAAAGTTTTTTCATGGGTGATAATCAGGTTATCCTCAGGATGGATGGAATAGGATAAGATTCCCATCCTAGACGTAGTTTCTAACTCAGGTGAGGAGGATTCTCTTTCCATTGCTCAAAGCACCTTCCATGGGAGAACCTTCCACTAAACCTATGGCACTGAAGAAACCCAAGCACTGACTTGGAAACGTCTCATAATCCGCTGTCCTCACTCCTCTTTCTCAAATGAGAGAATCATTAAATCAGAAGAGAACTACGTCTGGTGAAACATCCTTAACAATATGACTAAAGGAGCGTGCACAACCTGTTTCAGGGTCATTGAAACTAACCCCCTACATAAACCTCTTGATTTCAAGGACTCTGATGATCTGCCAGTCAGTCAGCAAGGAAATGTTCACTGAGCACCGTCTCTGTGCACACTGTGCTGGAACCAGTAAAGCAAAGCATTATAGGATGGAAGCTCCTTGAGGACAGGAGCCTTGTCTTATTCATAGCTTATCCTCAATGCCTAAATTAGACCCTCGTATATATAGGTGCTCAACAGATATTTATCAGTTAATGTATATTATTAACTTGATGCCCACAGAGCCACATAGATGGGCCTTTATTGACAAGGAAACTGAGGTCTCACATGAAGTGACTTGCCCAAGGTCACATAGCAGCAAAGTCAAAGCCAGAACTCTATTGAACCCTGAACCACACTCCTCCCTTGTCTAAGGTATAGGTCCACACTGCCACCTCCTGTGAGGGAGAACAGCAGCCCTCCTACTGATGGCTGATACCCTTGGCTCAGAGAAGGATGAAGCAGGTCCACAGAGTAGGTAATACTTACCTGTGATGCTGTGTGAGGAGCGGGGAGGCCAAATCAGAAGGAGCAACCTGCAGCATCAGAAATGGGAGTAGGGAGTCTCACTTAGGCCCCTCCTAGGTTGGCTTAGGCACAAGGTTGTTGGGTGTTCTGGCTTAAGATGTAATAGACCCACTGCTAGAGGAGAAATCCAAATTGTGAATGGAATGGTTTTCCACATTAATTCCCAAACAAATGTACTTGGCATTGTGTTATGGGTTAAGATGTCTCTTCAAAAGTAGTTCTGCTGCCCTCACTTTTTAAAAAGATGTCATTGTCAATTTTTACTAAATAAAAGACAGTCCTCTTTTTGCTTTGCTTTGCAAAAACACAACCTAGAAGTGAAGGCTTTAAAGTTCAAGAATACACTGTCATTGTAATGACCACCTCTATAGCCCAGCTATTCTTCCCCAGGAATCAATCAACCTTTCAGTCTATGGTGTCCTCAGCTCTTTTACAAATGTTGTGAGAGAGGAAAAGAGACACAGAGATGCTCACTGCCTTCAAAAGGCATAGAGTCTGGGTGGGAGGCTAACAGGAATGAAGGAACCCAGGATGCTCCACTTATGGTAGAGCCAGGAGAGATGGCTGTTTATGCAGGTAAACAGGGATGGCTTTCTAGACCAACCTGGCCTAACTCCAGTCATCTGCTGACCTAACCCTGTCACTTCCCCTCTTCTATGCATTACTTCATGCTCTGTACCCATGTGAGAGGTGGTACAGAGCAACAGCTCAGACAAGCCGTGTGGCACAGATGTGAATCCCAGCCTGCTGATTGGTAGCTGTGTGGCTCCAAACCACTCTATGCCTTAGTTTCCCTAGCTGTAAAATGTGGACAATAATAATCACAATAACAATGATAACTACCTCCTCAGACTGATGTGATGATTAAATGAACCAACCCATGAAAAGCGCTTAGAAGGTACCTGGTACCCAGTATTCAGCTCAGTGAATGTTAACTGTGTTGTTATTAAAATGTGTGTGTGTCTCTGACATTTGTACATAATGTGTGTACTGTGTCTGACTCACCTCCTTATTATATTGTAACCTCTGTAAGGAAAGGAATAGTGTCCCCTTCTTCCTCATCTCTGGATTGCTTTTCAGTGCTGTATATGCATGGCTATATATGCCATGGCTTTGGCAACCAGACATCTGGATATTCCAGGACTGTTCAGATTTCAAAGATTCAGGTGCAATTTCTGAGTGATATATTTCAGGTGATATATTTCTGCAGAAATATATCAGATCATATATCCCAATATGAGGTTCAGAAAAAGTTGTCTCCACCACTGACTGTCATTGGCAGACTCTAGCAGCTTTTCTTTCTCTTGGCAGATCACATAGAGTGCTCTAGCCATGCATGGAAGCCCTTCTCTAGGGGCAGCCTGACCCCATGGTGCTTGGCAGTCAGCTCGGCTCTGGGTCCCTTTATCTCTAGATGCTTCCACTTGCCCCCACCCCAACCCCACCCACAGAACATTTTCTTGGCTTTGATGAAAATCCAGCTTTCTTAGTCTGTTTTCTGCTGCTATAAAAACATAACCACAGGATAATTTCTAAAGAACAGAAATTTATTTCTCCTAGTTCTGGAGCCTGGTAAATCCAAGTTCAAGGCACCAGCAGGTTCAGTGATAATGCCTACTGAAGACAGGGTCAGAATGACCCAACCAAAGGGTTGACAGAGCAATGAAAGAAATTCTTCAAAGACCAAAGGAAAAAAATGAAAAACCAAAGTGAACTGAAAAAAATTAAAATGGAGGTCAAGGAAGAAAATTCCAGAGTTACCATGGTCTCTACGACATTTTTGGAGCTATACACTCCTAGGTCACTCGTTGAGTCTAACCTCAGTGCTGTTCCTACTCACTAAAAAATCATTACCCCCTGAGATCTGTTCTATGGTTTGGGTGCAGTAGGGTTGGTAGCTTGTTTTACAAGAGTACCCTAACAGCACCCTTGGCGGGCAGAGGATACAGGTAGGTGCATGGGGACTAGGCTCTAATGATGGAAAGTGCCCAAAGCGCTTCCTCCAACCCGATGTCTCCCTCAAACAGCAGTTTAGAAATTGTCCCTTTATGTCTATGGCCATACCATGGCCCAATCTTGTCTGATCTCCAAAGCTAAGCAGGGTTGGGCCTCATTAGTACTTGGATAGGAGAAATTGTCCCTTTAATGTGGCCCACTCATGTGTGAATCCTGGCCCATTGCATGTTGATGACTAGCTCGATAATACTGACCACAATATTTTTTTTCCTCATTGAGTCACTTGAATGGTAGGAAATTATTTCTCTTTTTCAGTGTCAGGTGAACATGTGTCATTAGCCTTGTACTTATCTTCATTAGTATTATTAGACTTGAAAACCCAGTTTAATCTGGATTCTCCTCTTTTCTCAATGTCAGCCTGTTTCTGGACCAGTACAGAGCCAGCCTTGTTGATGCAATAAAGAGATTACTCCAGCCCAGGGTAAGTATGTTTCTATTTTTCTTCTGAACACTGGCTACAGAATAATTAGTCTATGCACAAAGATGGAGAGAGTAATGGAATGGCAGGATTAATGTCCTGTAATACTTTAATACTTATTATGTCCAACTTCAATTGGGTCTTCTGATCTATCAGAGTCTTTCCTAATCATAACTAGGAAACTTCTTACCCTTGGCCTTCTGATAAGAAACACAGTGGGTAGTAGAATAAATGAAACTGCTTCAAAGATAGTGTGAGATTATTTTTATCAAAGAATTTCTTGAGTCTTTTCCTTTGATAATAATATCTTCATATTAAAGTAGAAGTATGATATTGAAAGTTTTCTGTTGACTTCTGTCATTTCTAATCCCTTCAATAGTAACCTTTGTTATTGGGTATTTACTTATTGCAAAAGAATAGTTTTTTCTTTTTATTTCTGTTTATATTAAAGAAAAAGGACTTCAGATGAATCTGTATATTAAAAGTTCTTTGCTTTAAAAGGAAGCCATTATTTACATATTATAAACATTAGGTCACAATGAAACCAAGCATGCCATAAAATATTGTGCACATTTTTACATTTATATATCCATTTATGCCTGTGAGTAAATTACAGAGTTTGTATCCACTCTTATTTTGTTGGGCTGTTATACTAAGCTAGGAGGTCCTGCAGCCTAAACGGAGAGTTAATATACATCTATTTAAAGTAAGAAAACTAGTTTTAAGCTCATGCATTTAAAAAAAATCTTATAAGTACATAAGACTCTTGCTGTGCCATAGGAATTTAAAATAGGTTAACAGTATTAATGTAATCTAAGACAGGAACTCACATTTATCTGAGAAGAATGCAGTGTGTGTGTGCATGTGCACACATGTGTTTTCCAAAGTTTAGTTTTTAAAGTCTTTTTTAAAAGAAGGTTTACTCTAGTCTTCTGACCTCAGAGAGACTTATAGACCAATACCTTTCAATCTTTCTTTTATATCTTTTTCACAGTGAAGGTTCCCAGAGCAATTGGATAATCATCCTTTGCCTTACACTGTTGCTTTTTATTTTGCTATCTCTCTATAGCTCAGAAACTTTAAATAGGCCTCTCAGAGGAGTAACTATAGCTTTATAAATGGCAATCAATTCAATTAAATTGGCCTTCTCAGACTGGGTGAGGTGGCTCATGCCTGTAAGCCTAGCACTTCAGGAGGCTGAGGTGGGAAGATCACATGAAGCCAGGAGTATGAGACCAACCTACACAAGAGCAAAACCCCATGTCTATAAAAATTTTACAAAATTAGCCAGGCGTGGTGGTGTGTGCCTATAGTCCCAGCTACTCAGGAGGCTGAGGCAGAAGGATCACTTCAGCCCAGGAGTTTGAGGTTGCAGTGAGCTATGATGATGCCACTGCACTCTAGTCCAGGCAATAGAGCAAGGTCCTGTCTTAAAAAAAAGATTTTTTTTGGCTTTCTCTGTTTCTCCCGTGAAGTGAGTGTTAGGTCTTGAGGCAAGGAAGGGGCATATCCTAAGCTGTTGATACCCGCTGCATGGTTGAGTAGGCAGCCCAAGTTGAAGGCAAAAGATAGAATTTTGGGCCTCTTCATCCCCCTGTTAGCTTTGGGTGATTCTTGTGAGCATTTGCAAGACCATATTTTCAGGGAGGGCACTGAGATTCTTGGGTATAAAGGCCTCTATGAAAATGTATCATACATAAATACAATGCTTTCAAAGACTTCTGGATCTCACACTGTACAAATAGTACTTCACTCATCACCAATACCCCTTCAAAGCCTATTTGTGGCAAATACTTCATTTTGCAGCAGATTTGCATGATTTACCCAGGATCTATTGTAAACCATTTGGATGATGTACAATAGAAAACTGCCCAAGCTATGAACAGACCTAAATGCAGATGGGACTGGAATCTCTAGCAGCTCTTCTGTACTCTCTAATAAACCCTCCCCTGCCCCATCTGAAATGTGGCTCTACACAGCAGCCTTCCTGCTGACAGTCAATACTCAACCTTAGCCCAGAGAAGGATGGGGCAGGGCCCTAGAGTAGGTGGTCTTTACTCATGCTGTGTGAGGAACAGGAAGGCAAATCAGAGGGGCTCACACCAACCTGCAGAATTGAAAATGGGAGGAGGGCCCTCACTAGGCCTGGTGGAACGGCTGATACCCAAGGCTGCCAGGTATTCTAGCCTAAAGTACAAGGGGCCTGCCGTCAGGGGCAATCCCAGTGGTGGATGGTGTGTGGACATGCCAAAACTACTACCTAGGAAGCTCATCCCACTCAGGAGGTCTGAGAAGGCAGGAACTTCCACTCCCTGGGCCTCCACCCAGATGGCCCATAGAAGGGTTGTACGGACTTTGGCAGTGAACCTCAGCAGTTCCACATCCTGTGCTGGTGGCCTAGAAGTATTCCCAAAGCTTGGGGGTAACCAGAGGAAAAACTAGACTCTTCTTCCTCTTGGCTCTCAGGTCTGGCTGTTCTGGGTCCCCCCGCTGAGTGTATGTACATGTGTGGAAATCACAGTCCAAGGGGAAGATAACATTCAAGGTTTTACTCTGTTAGAATTAAAACTGTTTTTAATGTTCTCTTGAGCTCACACAACTGCTCCATGGTTTTGTGGTCCAGAGGCTGAAGGTGCCACAAAAGACCCACAAAGAAACAATGTGGGGGTGGAGGGCCAGGCTGCGTTGGTGGATCCTGAGTTCTCGGTGATTCAGTGCAAACAAAGCAAGTTCTCAGGGTACGCAGCAAAAACTGCTCTTCAGCCAGATGCTTCAAGTTCATAGCATGGCTCCAGTTTCTGAAGGTAAAGTGCAGTGGGTGGAAAGAGTCCAAAAAATCTGCTTACAAAACCCAGGTCTACACTAACGACCTAGCCTTTCTGAGCCTGAGTTTCCTTACCTGTCAAAAGGCCAAACTATTCCTGTCTTGTGGGCTGGTGTTAAATATTTACATACGTAAATGCTCAGCCCATGCCTGGTGCACGGGAGGAGGAGGCACTCAGTAAGGGGGCTAGTTCTTTTCCATTGCTGTCCACGCTTATCAAGGTTAATACTCACGAGACACTTGTCCAAAGGGATGCTGGCCTGACTGATGGGATGCCTGAATTCCAGGCCCAGTCTGACAATAATAGGGTCTGAAACTGTCTCTTGCCCCATTTTCCTCAAGGAGGGAGGGTGAGGGAGTTCACCTATCTCTCATAGAGTTGTCTCAGCTCTAAAATCCATAGTCTTCTTTGCAGAGAGAAGGTACACTTGGGCCCTGGAGGCAGAAAGCTTAGGCTAAGATCTGGGCTCTGCAATTGACTGCATTCATGTCTGAACGCCTCAGTTTCTCATCTGTAAAATGGGGCATGAATAGGCCAATGCACTGTAATGTACCTGATTGGCTCTGCACATCTCTTCAATGTTAGCTCTTATTACCTGGCAGAACTAGAGAGACTTTTGACTGTGGCGAATACTATAATGGGGAGGGCTATAGGGGGTACTCTTTCTAAGCATTTTTCTTGGAGAAATGCTGGCGGGAGAGGAAGGCACCATTTTCTTGACCTGGACTTTGAGAATTTCTGCACATTACTGGCATCCTGTATCTCTCCTGCACACGTGTCCTGAATACCTGTAGCAGGCCCTGTACTGGTGCTGGGAGGATTGTCTACCTGGATGAAGATGACACTTTTTAGTACAGACAGGCCCCAGAGAGTTGGGGGCGAGAGTACGACAACATCAGCAAGAGTGAAATAATTGCAACATGAAGGTTCAAGTGTCAAGCTGTGGAAAGAAATGAATTCTGCCATTGGGGGGAGTGTGGTGGTGCTTGATTTCTAGCTTGAGCAAATCAGTTGTTTGGGGTCAGAGGGTCCAGAAGCAAAGAAAGTAGATGGAAAGGAAGGTGATTGAAGGGAAACAGGCCCCCAGCAAGAGCTTAGCCACCAGGGTGGCCTCTTTGCTTGGCCCAAGGACAATGTCAAATCCCAGGGCTAAGCTTAAATTCTTAGCCACACAGGCACCTATTCGGAAAGTCATTGCAGAAAGCCCCACATTTCATCAAGGAATGTTTGCCACCACCTGAAATGGAAACTTTCCTCAACGTGCTGGTTTAGAGAAACTGTAAAGACAGCTAACTGCTGCCAGAATACTACCAGGGACTCTAGCAAACTTGAAAGATGAAAAGAATAGAATAGAGATATTAAAAAAGGAATGAAATCAGCAAATTTTACTCATTCCAAGAGGCAATGCTTCCCTCCCACTTTTCCCTGTGGTGAGTGGCTTCTTGTTGCTGATGATTGATAGGATAACTCTCTGTCATTGTGTTCTTTAAAGTCCGTTGACAACAGCAATGTCCAATATCAGAGGACCCAAATGTAATTTAAAATACAGCCACAGCAGTCTCCAAGTTGAACTTTTGGCCAGAAATGACAACCAACAAATGGTATCTACTAATATTCCTCTAAAATGGCTTTGGGTGGGGGAGGGGAGGCAAACTGGCTGGACAGTGTGAGTTAACTCAGGACCACAAGGGGATGTGCAGTATCTGGAGATGCAGTATCGATAGCCCTCCAATGTGTATTCTCTGCTGATCAATCTTCAAGAATTAGAAAAGATCGCCGTGGAATTCATTTCACTTTCTTCAGAAACTGGCCCCGACTGACCACCAAATTCCTGGAGTCCTGCCTATATCCAAGGAGTGCTATAAATGTAAATCATGTACTCTTGTTTTAGAAGAGCAATTTCATGTAAATTGGTAGACTTTCTTATCTTTTTAAAAAATCTAACAGCTCTGCTCACCTCTGTACCGACATCTGCTTTTGCTTGTTTCAGGGAGATTGCCTTGTGTGTGGGGAATCAGTGTGGAGCTGGAGGACACTTGGGTTCTTGTCTGCTTGCTGGCTCGGAGGCCCAGCAGAGCCTCATCTGTTCTTGCTGCAAAGCTAGCTCACTTGGTTGTAGGAGTGCCCTTGAAACAGGGATTGTAGCAATAAAGAACCCCCCAGATGGTTTAAAGATGCTCTGAGCAGGGGTCTTGCCCTAAGAAGTCCTTTTCTGAAGTCCACCCAAGTGCAGATTCAGCATGTCCAGTACTGTGTGCTCGGCAGAGAATACCAAGACGTGAGGTAGAATCTCTGCCCCCAAGGAAGTTATGATCTTGCTGTGGAGATGTAATGCAGCCTGGTGCTATTTTTATTTGCTTTGTGCATCTTCCTAATTTATGTCTTCAGTAGAATGTGAGATACTCAAGGGTTTGGACTCTGTCTTGACCATTTGTTGAGCTACTATCTGCTGGGCACTGTGCTGAGGAAGGGGGGGTAGGAGTATAAACATGACTCGGAGCACCATGAGACTCAGTTCACCAGGACACATAAGCACATGAGCTACCAGGAATTACAGTGCAATACAATGGGTCCTAGAAAAGGGGTCCCAGGAGAAAGCACCAATACTGACCAACTGCATGAGGAAGGCTTCCCTAGTGACAGTGGTATGTGACTTCTGCCTTAAAGAGTAAGAAGGACACTCTAAGCCTTGGAGGAAGGGGACAGAAGGTAGTATTCCTGGTGGAGGGAACAGTGTTCATATGAGTGGGGTATGAAAAAGCATGATGTGTTTTGGGATCAACAAGAAGTTAGCTCTGGCTGGTGTGTAAGAGTGTCTGTGTATTTGGGGGTTAGGGTTGGGGAAAGCCAGGAGATGAGGTTAGAGAGTTATGAAAGGCCAAGAACACTATGACAAGGAGACTGGGCTTTATCATATGGGCACCAGAGAGCCGCTGAAAGTTTTTGAGCAGTAGTGTGGTTGGATGTAGGTTCTAGAAAGATCACACTGGCCATAGCATAAAGGCTGGATTGGAGTCAAGAGAGTTTGAAAGCAGTAAGGCTCCATAGAGGTCTAGCATGGACCAACTTCTACCTGGAAACATCCATTTAAGAGCTAGTAGAGACCCAAAAATCACAAAGAGGGAATTGCATGTACATTCACTGAAAGATCCACTCAGCAAACATTTATTGAGTGCCTCTAAGATGCAGACACTGTGCTAGCACCTGAGGGTGGAGGAAGATATAATATAACCCTGCCCCAACGGAGCTCATGGTCCAGCAGGTGTCAAGGGCATAGCAGAGGTGTGAAGACCCTGTCACGCAGGGAGTGGGAGTGGCTAATGGGGTTGGGGGCGGGGAGTGCAGTGTGGAGGCCAGAGAGGCCAGCAGAGGCATCACAGGGCAGGGTGTCTAGTCTGGTTACTGAGGGGTGAATAAGAGATCACCAGACAGACAAAGACCTGGAGGAAAGAGAGGCATTCCGCCCAAAAGGAATGTTTGCCTGTTTGAAGGCACGGGGATGTGTAAAAGAACACATCAAAGGCCTGCGATTAGGTTGGTCTACCTAGAACCCAAGGTGAGTCAGAGGAAGTGGCAGGAGAAGAGGTTAGAGATTAAGGCATGGGTCATGTCAAAGTGGGCTTCGCCTGCCATCCCAAGAAGGAGGGACCCATGTGAGTGGTTTTCAAACCCTGGTAAATGGTAGAACCTTTTAGACAAATAATTTTAGCCAGTACCCTGATCATGAAACAGATGAAAGTGGAGCAGCTTTAGTTAAACTGGATATGAGACTAGTAGTGCTCCCTCTGTCTTGGTCTCCCTTTTGTCCCTCCAGGCCACCGTTGAAATAATTCAGAACATAGTTTGAGAACCATATGTGGCAGGTGACAGTGACACAGGTGGGGGGATGTGGCACTGAAAGATTTTTAAAGGGCCATGATTCCCAGGTTTCCAGCTTCATTTGAAGGTGATAAGTATGGAAGTACTTGGTACCTAGTAGGTACTCAGCTTGTGTGTCTGCATGTCTGCGCACACGCGCGCGTGTATATGTGTGTGTGTGTGCGTGTGTGTCTCATGTTGGACTGGTAGTGCCTTAGGAAGGGTAGGAGGTTGGGAGCAGGATATTGAGTTCCATTTTGGACTGAATGGATTAAAGGTATTTTTGGATTATTCACATGCAGAGATCTGTGGGTATGGACAATAGCAATAGCAATAGCAAAAGCTGTAGTTACAGACTTGTAGTTATTGGCGTATAAGCGATAGTTGAAGCTATGGACTTTGGTACAATTGCCCAGAATTAGATAGAAGCAAAGAACAAGTAGGGAGAGCCCTGGGGGATGCTGACAAGTAAAGGGCGGGTGGGAGAGGAGAAGCCGGGAAAGGGACTAAGAGAGACTTGAGAAATAGAGAGAAAGCGGGTGATGGCAGTGTCTCAGAAACCAGGTAAAGAAATAGAAAGTAAGCCTAAGCTTAAACATGTAATTGGTGTTTAATAGTTGGTTACCTGGAAATGAAAAAGGAATAAAGGCATTCCATTGGCATAACATATTCCTTTTGAAATAAATCTGAGGCATACTTATTTTTCCTAGAAGTGTACACCCTTTAATATATGAGTATAGATTAGTCTAGCAAAATAACAACAACCGAGCTCACAAGGTAAACAGTATCACTGTCGTTTAGTGAAACTTCTCTCTCTTCTCTCTAGGGATAAATGAATTCTCTCAAATTTCTGCTCATCAGTCAAAATTTTACATTCAATCGAGCGTTCATTCTGAGTTTAAAGTGATTCTGTGACTGAATGCTTAGAAAATCGTGCTTTGGTAAATTGAAAATAATTTTTCTAAACAGATGGGCTAATTTGAAATCTATATTCTTTTTCTTGTTTTGATTTTCACAGCCCAAATTGTAAGGCGTACTCCTCTGGTTGTACTCTCCACAGATGATGTGTTCTCTACCCTAGGGATGCCGGGGGCTTCTGAAACCATTCGTTACGGGGAGAGACGAAGGCAGCACTCAGTAGGGCTTAGTGGATGTTTACTGAATGAGGTAGATGATGTATTATTTTCCCTCCTAAATATGAATCCACATCTCAAAGGTATCTGTATTCAACGAACTGAAAAAGAAAACAACGACATAACTGAACTACTGCTCACTCTTTCTCTTTTTGTGGGTACACAGCACCTCACACAGAATGCCACCCTCTGAAGCTCCATACAGCAGCTGACTCTGTAAATGCTTCTTGGAGAAAACCTTTTCAAAAGAATAAGCAGTAGAACATGACCTTCAAATTCCCAAAGACTCCCATTTTTTAAATTACTCAACATCTGGATTTAGTTTATTCTCTCAACAAATATTGACTGAGTGCTTACTATATGCAAGGCACTGAGAAAATGTGGTGAATAAAACATTAGAAGATCCCGTTGTCATGGAGCGTTCATTCCAGCCAAAGGAACGGGCAATGACAAACAAGATACAAAACACGTGTCAGTGGTGATAAGTGCTAAGAACAAAAATAAAGCTGGGATGGGAGGTGTGAGTGATAAGGGAGGGGCCTACTGTTCTAGGCAGAGTGGTTAGGGAAGGACAGGTCAACTGAGACCAGAAGGAGGAAAGAGATGTTTGAACAGAGAACACAGCCACATGCTTAGTGGCAGTCCCTTGCAGCTCACCCCACCAGTGAGAAGGTGTCATGCGGAGAGCGTGTGCTTAGTGTACACAAGCATCAGCCCAACCAAGAAACCTGTAGCCCTGCAGACATTATGGTATATAGCTTTGATAGTGGCTGTTGAAAACCAACTCTTCAAGTGTAACTGTAAGATAATTTTTGCAGGTGACTTTAAAATATAACAACTTCCATTATTCAAAATTCCAGCTCTTAGAAATGACTAAAATGACCTACTAGCAGTCCTTTTTTTTTTTCTAATGGAGACTTTTGCTCTCCTGCTGAGACCACGTATTATATCTAGTTTCACATAAAAATGAATTTTTGCTGCTAAGTTTGAAAAGCGCCTGAAAATAGCAATTAATATTGGAAAAGCTGACAGAACCTTAAGTGTAGAGGCATGATTGGTGCTGCTATAATTATGTGCCTGAGTGTGTACATGTCTATGTAAACACAGTATGAAAACACACTTGATGTCCAGGACAGTGTGTTGGTGTATTTTCTTCCAGGTAAGTGAGAGAGAGTGGGGGAGAGACTTAATGGAATTGATATAGCACTGTTAGTAGGTGTGGATTTTTTAATCTTACATCTATATAGCCTTGTTTTTCCAAATTATTTTCACATCCATCACCTCATTTGATTCTCACAACCTGCTGGGGGAAAAAAAAGGTAGGATAGGCTTTGTTCTTCCCATTTGTTGGAGGAGAAAACTCAGTGGATCAGCTAGAATGGCTTAAGGTTCTTATGTATAAGATGAAGGGATTGGCCTACAGCATCTCCAAGGTCCCTTCTAGCTCAACAGGTTCTATGATTCTTTTGTTTCTGATTGTCCTGAGGTGCCACAATTGTTTAATGGTGGAGACTCCTTTTAAGTCCAGAATCTATTCTACTATTCAGTTCCTACTTATAGTCTTCAAATCCTTCCCTGCATATTTGATCATCTGTAAAATGCCATTTCTACTATACAAGGTTGTTGAGAAGATCATTGAGGGGATAAAGGGAGGGTTTGTAAAGCACCCAGCACAGTGGCAACTATCATTATGATTGTCATCACTGTTACTAATGAGGAGACAATGTAGTATAGTTGGAAAGAGCATCAGTGTTGGAGCTTCTAATCATTTATTGGAAGAGCTCTTAATACCTTCTACATGGGGTGGTTTGAAGACTAAAGGAGATGGTGTGTATATGAATGCCCAACATGTCTGACATACCAGATGCTCAAGAAATGGTTGGTAGGTATGAATGATAAACCACCTTTCATAAGAAACTGGGATATATTTTCCCAATTCTTTCATAATCTGAAATGGTTTCACCTCACATTTCACAGAGGTGCATTGTAACCTTGAAATTAACAGAAGCATACAGCCATCTTTAAAAAAAATAGAGAGAGAAAGAGATTCTGAAGTTTGGCCACTTTCTGTTCACATCTGGGAGATGGAGGGGAAATCTACATGCACCCAGTAGTTAGCAAATTGCCATTGCGAAGTTTCATGTCAGATAGCCTTCTGCAATTCAGTCTATATTTTATTCCAGTCCTCCCACTCTCCCCACTGCCACAATTTCATAAGATTTTGTGGATTATTTAGAAAAGCCTGCTTACCCTCATGATACATACCGCTTTCTTCGCAAAGCAACCATTTGAGCACTGTGAGGAGCAGCTTTGCTATAGCGATGACCCTTATGAGGGATTCGGTGGAGTTGGAAACCAAGCCCCTGGAGCCTTGTCTCTGGCAGCGCGCTCACAGACACGGCTGCTGCAGGACCGAAATGTGAAAACTCCCCAATAGGATTTGTGGTTATTTGTCTCTGTGAAGGCTTTCTTGGTACTGAATTTTCAGGGCACAATAAACTAACATTTATAAGCATTTGCTGCCACCTGCTCTGGAGCTGCGTTGCGGATGTGTTGGCAGGTGCTACAGAGTCACAAGGTGAGTGGAACTGCCCTGGACCAGTTACTCTAAAATCTAGTAGGTAGTTTAAGCCATTGGCCTCGAGACAGAACACCAACTTTCAAACACATTTTGTTTTATTATATGCATTGTTTGAAAAGGATGAAACACAGCAACTGGACATTTGAGCGTGAATGTTTTTTTCTTATTTGATGTATATCTATCCTGGAAATTATTCCCACTGTGAATACCTATCCTGTGTGGACATCTCAAGAACAATTGAGTTTTTCTGTCTGGGAGCAGTACATTAAATGCTTTGACCAATGTCTGTTATGTTTGGTTGCCTTCCAATTTTAAAATGTGTGAATTTCCTTTTTAATG